TTTTAACCAATACTCAACATTACGTCGCCGAAGATTATTACTATTTTTCCGCACGCAAAACCCGGAATTATACCCATGGGACACCAAAAATCGACACCTAATACCAATTCATGCTCTATTCCTGGAATTACCAAGATATTCATGATTCCTACCCTACCACGAAGCATAATCGTCAGGATGCATGATTACTCCCACAGACTGCAAACGACTCCAACCAGAACTCCCCAAAATAGTACGTGACGTCCCACTATCTAACAACCCCTTAAATCTCTGAACCAAAATAATGACATCGAGATAAGAACGCGAATCACCCCTCGCACTATCGAGAATAAAACCTAAAACACTCTGCATGCGGATATTCAGATCGGTCGATTTTGATGACTTACGGGAAGGACTACCATACACTTGCGTCGATTCTTGGTTCCTAACATGATGGACAATTCCTGTCCATACAGTAAAATCCAACTCCCCAGAGCTATAACATCTCTTCTGGAAATGCTCCGGACAAAAGTTCTTCATATGACCTGGCAGGTCATATGACTCAGCAGACTCTGTCGGTCCCCACAACAGCCGACGAACACCCTGGTGAAGAAACAAGCTCCACACTAGCCGAAAACGGTCTCCATCATATTGGATCTCGCCGGAGGCGATAATAGGTTTCCACTACCGCATGCCTATATTCTGGCTGCCTACAAACACGAAGAAGCTCAAAAACGACTTTACCTCCACCACCGGGTTTTCACGATCAATTTCAGTTTCACAGATTCACATAACGCATCGAAAAACACGTTCATGACGGCCAAATACATCAAAATCGACTCCTTATCTTCTCGAAAAGTCGTGCCTCGTAGTTGAAAAGCTGAAACTCATCACGAAAAGGCTCATCAATTCTTTCCCGTTGTAAACGCGCTTATGTGAGGCCTGATACCACACCAAAGCCCTACCAATAAACAAATCATAAGCAGAAGCAAACAATTCGTCCGTAGTAACATTCTTAGCTACTCAAAGCTTCTCCACCTGAGATAAAAACGCACTCAAACCCCAGTTGACCACCGGTACCGATTTCCTAGCAAGTGGGACGTCATAGCAGGAGCACCACTTGAAACATTACAAAGACGAAGATCAACATCGTCGGCAGTAGAACCTCCAGAACTCGATATTAATTCAACCAATGAAGAATCCAGGAACCCACCTACCGCTGATGCAGAGAATCCAAATTCGCTCGAAGCCTGTGAAACTTAACCAATAGCTAAGTACGAGACGTCTTCTCTGTGTTCAAGGCCAGACGAGATTGTTCAATCAGCCCAATATAATGCACTAGCTGAGCAGCCAGCGTCCTGTAAGACGACGAAGATTTAAGAAACCTGTCAAAAATTGATATGTTTTACTCAATTATTCGTGGTGCGATTAACGAGCATGTTTCTCATCGAACTGTTCATAAATGTAGATTTCCATCATGGTATTCACTGTCTACTATCAAAGCCATTAAAGAAAAGCTAAAATAGCATAAAAAGTGGAAGTCCACAGGTTGCGATAATTATTATGAAACGTTTCGCTTGCTCAGAACTCGTACTAAAACATTAATCGCAGCCGATTATAGGACTTTTCTTGACGTCACACAGTCTAATATGTGTGTCAACCCTAACGCTCTTTGGTCTTACGCTAAGTCTAAAAAAAGGGTAATATGAGCATCCCCAGTAGAATTACCTATCGCGAACGAACGGTGGATGGCGGGCAGGATGTCTGTGACCTATTCGCCGATTATTTTGGTTCTGTTTTTGTTGATGGCTCTCTGAATGGCGACCGCGAGCGATCCAATCTGGGACTCATGCACTGGTTTACCCGCGATGACATCCTGCGCACGCTATTACTTGTGGGCCCCAATGCCGGAGCGGGTCCTGATGGACTGCCCGGCTTGTTCTTTCGTGAATGCACTTCGGAGCTCACCGAACCGTTGTTATATATCTTCAAAACTTCTCTCTATACTGCCACTTTCCCTTCTGAATGGAAGAAAGCCCTAATACTCCCTATACATAAAAGTGGCGAACGTGATTTAGTTTGTAACTACAGACCTATCTCTATTCTCTCAATCGCCTCTAAAGTCTTTGAGCGTCTTGTTTACGATCTTATTATGTATAGTGTTAAATCATCTATAATCCCTGAACAGCATGGCTTCTACCAAGGCAAGTCAGTGGAATCTAATCTAATCTCTTATTCCAACTTTTTACTAAGCTCTCTTGATGACAATTGCCAGGTAGATGCCCTATACACCGATTATAGCAACGCGTTTGATAAAATTGATCATGGAATCCTTTTAACTAAACTTGCTAATTTTGACATTCCAAAATTAAATTACAATTTAAAATTACATTTACTCGTAAACGCTATCCTGTCGTCTTTGATTATTTCCTTGGCTCAACTATCCTCAGACAATCCGAATGCGTGAGAGACCCTGGAGTTATTTTTGACTCTAAACTCTCTTTTTCGGCTCATATTGACTATATTGTTAACAAGGCTTCTCGCATGCTGGGATTTGTATGTCCTTAATTACGCATCTGCCGTTTGGAACCCTCAATATCATACCTACATCGACCGCCTGGAACAAGTCCAGAAGTGTTTTGCTCGGTATTTGTCGTATAAATTTTGCTCACCGTATTGTAATTATGTGCAGCGATGCACAGTTTTTGGTCTCATGCCGCTCTCTTCCAAACGCAAAAATAATGACTTAACCCTACTTTATAAAGTGTGCAATGGCCTTATTGACTGCTCCGCGATCTTGTCCGAGTTAAAATTTAGAATTCCTGTCCGACCGTCTCGCGACTTGTCTTTATTTTCGGTGCCTCGTACTAATACAAATGCCTTTTCAAATGCCGCGGTTCCACGCCTTATGTACACGTTTAATTGCTGTGGCTCAGGTCTCGATATGTTCAACACCTCTACGGCGACATTCAAGAAAAACATTTGCCACTTGCATTGTCAGTAGCATTGCGTGCGTTATCTGATAGCTGAGCGAGTCGTTGATATTGATATTATTATTAATATCATTAAACATATTGTCATTTTATTTTTGTTATTATTTTATTTTTTGTTAATTTTTTCCTTTTTGCTGGTTTTTGTTTACTTTTATATATATATATATTTTGTTATTATTATTAACATTAATTTTTGTATTGTTCTTCTTATGTATTATTAGTGGATACTTCACTGGGCCTGTCCTATTTGTATCCCAAAGATTACAAATAAATAAATAAAAAACGGTCCAATTTCATCGAAACCCTCATTTAGAGCCTGTAAATCACCTTCAAAAGAAAACGGGTGAGCGGAATAATCCATCTTCCGTCCAGTCCTCCCCATGAAAATCATACTCCTTAGCACATCATGTATCTTCTTCACCGTGGTGACGTCACTTACAGTCCTTACAGCGAGCTCGTACGATAACATAGGTTGAGTTAAACGAGAAATATCCAAAGGTTTCGCCATGACTCCTATGTGAAAATGCTATTAAAGGAAAAAGGACAACAAAACACCTGCAATGGAGAATTAACAAATGAATTTCTGAGGTTCTCTCTAAAATACCAAAAAAAGAACGTCACTCACACCCCTAACAGCAAGCTTGTACGTTAACACAAGCTGAGTTAAACGGGAAATATCCAAAGGTTTTGCCGTGGTTCCTGTATGAAAATGCCATTAAAAGAATAAGGACAACAGTGTAAGGGAGAATTAGTAAATGAATTTCTGAGGTCTCTCTAAAATATCGCCTATGTGGTACAATGACCTCAAATAATAATAGTCGGCCAAAGAAGTGACATGCGCTAAAATTTGACAATGTGACGCTAAAATTAAAAAATATAATAACTAGGACAACAAACCTCTCCCTCTANTTTTAATTTGTTTCTTTTTAATTAAATATGCTGCGATGGCAGCTGCCAATCTTATTTTGCCACAAGACATTTTTATACTGTCATTCGTAAAAAAAGCAAACTACTGCAAGCTGTACCCACATTGTGTGGAAACACGTCTGCAATTTAACGTCTACAAACTACTTCTGGAAGCAGACTTCCGCAAGTTTCAGTTTCAGTGCCATTAAAAGAAAAAGAACAACAGTGTAAGGGAGAATTAGTAAATGAATTTCTGAGGTCTCTCTAAAATATCGCCTATGTGGAACAATGACCTCAAATAATAATAGTCGGCCAAAGAAGTGACATGCGCTAAAATTTGACAATGTGACGCTAAAATTAAAAAATATAATAACTAGGACAACAAACCTCTCCCTCTATGTTTCCCCAACTCTGTGAAGACGGCTGGGTTCCTCTAACCCAGTTCCTCACCAATGGTGAGAGGAGGGAGTAATTAACAACAAAAAAAAACAACACATACAAGACAAAACCTAAATAAAGAAACCTCATTGCCAATCAGATTATCAACAAATCAAAATAAAATTATAATGAACAAAAATTTAAAGAAAAACATAAATAAATCAAACCGACGAGTTGGTGACACTTTTTAGAATAAAATAAAAAGTGTTTTCTTATTATAAAGCAAAAAAATAAACGAAATGTTGATTAAATAAGGTTTAAATTTTTAAGGAAAAAAAACCGTAACACTTTACCTACTATATGAAATAATCTGCAATAATAAAAACAAAGCGATAAAAATATTAAAATATATTTATTTTTCAAATATAAACTATACAACAGATTATAACATTATGGAAATTGAAACTAAATAATTAAGAAAATAGGTACAACGTAAAAAAATCAATTTTGAAGGTGAAAAACGAAGTTTGAAATATTAATTTTCTCTAATAAACAGTGATGTTAGAACTTAAAACAAGAAAAAATATTTAAAAGATTATCACAGAACAAAATTAAAATTGAACAGGCTTGTAAAAAGCATCACAATGAAAAAAAAAAGTGAAATCACTGATTTTTATCGAGGTCATCTGTAAGTATAATAAATTTAAACACCACCACAAAATAAAATTGAAAATAAAAGGAATCTTAATAATTTTCTTTTTTATTGCAAAATCACAACCAAATGTATTATATTTCAAGTGTAAATATAAATTTTAATTTGTTCTTTTTGTATGAAATATTTCAAAAATATACATAGAAATGAATTTATTAATTATTTACTAAAAATGACTTAACGAAGATAAAAACAAATTGGTTCCAATAATAAAATTAAAAATAAAATTAGCTAGTTAAAATGAATTAATAATTTAAATCTTATGAACCAAATTCTTCGGTTGTTGGATCAATAAGTTTAAAAGTATAATCTCCACGTCCGTCTAAATACAAAACATGTTCGTGGTGTTGCCACAAAGATTTTCGGTGGGACACTGTAAACAATGTAATCCCAACTTCCCTACAATATTTATACATACTTCCTTCAACATCAACAGAAACCGCACTTGTACATTCATCCAAAATTGCAAATTGTGGAGCATGATAAAATAGACGTGCCATAGCAATTCTTTGCTTTTCACCACCACTTAAAACATCTAACCAATCGGCAACCGCGTCCAAACCGTGTTCGCGTTTCAATAAATATTCAAGTTGAACCAATTTTAAATGTCCAATTAGTTCCTCATCGGTGACATTGCGCTTTTTAGCGTCTGCGTTGGAATGTGGATAAATAATTTGATCTCTCAAACTTCCCAAGGTCATGTAAGGTTTTTGAGGGATATAAAATAGTTTTCCTCTAGGAGGTTTCGTTAATTCACCGCCGAATAATGGCCAAAGTTCACCAAGTATTCTAAATAACGATGATTTTCCTGATCCGTTTGGTCCACAAACTAAAACATTCATTCCTGAACGTACTTCAAACGATAATTCTTTGATTAAAACGTCTCCATTGGGCGTTATTAAAGGAACTTTATCGAATTTAATAACGTTATCTTTAAAAATTAATTTCCCACCGTTTATATTTAAATTTTCCGATCCTTTTACCATGGTTCTTTTGTATTTTCCAGCGTTTAAGTCGTCCAAAACTTCTCTTAATTGAGTAACGCGCGATGTAAAACCTGCTAAACGGGTTAATTCTCGTCCAGCTAAAACTAACCTTCCTATAGCCTCAGCCAATTTAACTAACATTCTTCCGTAAGTATAATATAATCTTGAACGTTCGTTTTGTCCCATATTAGATAACTCATGATCCGTTGATAAAAACGGTCTGGAAACCACCCAAAAACCAACAACGCTGGCAAAATATTTCGCTACGATATTATCAATAACCCCCATAAATACTCTAAATTGTAAAAACTTTCTTAAATGATTCAGCAACTTATTAAAACTAGCCATTAAAGTGACCTTTTCGCGATCATTTCCATTATAAAAAGCTACTTCTTCCGAATAAGTAATCAATCTAGCGTTTATATGTCTATATTCTCCTTCTAATTTTTGTTCTGTCGCCGTCATTTTACCTGTAGGGCGTCTTAAATGAGTTAAAATCACACCAGAAATAAGAAGATAAGACAACATCGCCAATGGAGTACTTCCACCTAACGTTGCTGTTAATCTATAAACGTAAATACCAATATCCAAGATTGGTTTTGCAGTGTTACAGTATAGCTCGGCTATACTTTCGCAGAATTTATCTACATCGGTCGTTAAAAGTTGATCAGCGTTTGCGATTCGATTGTCTAAATTCGACATACGATAATAGGTGAAACCTTTTAGATAGTCATTGTAAAGACGGCGAGTCATATTGTTGCGTAAACGAATTTTTAATTCGCCTATTGAATATTTTAGGGTGTTATTTACAACCGAAATTATCGGCATGGCGCAGAGAAATACGAATAAGCGGCGCATGAATAACGATCTGTTGCTTGAAACTATTGCGCTGAAATTAGAAATAATTTTATTAAAATTTTATCAACTAAGTACTTAAAATAAATGTTAAGTAAGATAAATCAGATAATTGTTTTTGATTCATAAACTGCTTAATAAAATATCAAATAAAACTTAACCGCGGTTTTGATTGTATGCAAAAATATGAAAATAAGCCAGAATTAAGGCTTAACTTGACGATTATTTCATTGTTAAAAAGTCTAGCCAAAAAGTAGAGGTCAAAAGGCGATATCAAAATACAATACTAACATTAAATGATCAGTCACGTAAACAAAATCCAGCAGAAAAAAATCAGTAGCTAAGAATAATAAGAAAGAAGTCGAAAAAAAAACCTTAATAATAAAGAAACGTATCGGAAAAATGAGAACGAAAATAAAAAAGAATGAATAGAAAAGAAATAGAATTAGGAAAAGAATTTGAGAAGGCAGACTTGGAAATATTGGTGGTAGCAGAAACAAAGAAAAAAAGAAGTAAGAGAATGGAATTACAAAATGGATATTGATATGGAGTGGATTGGATAAAAAGGAATAGAACGAACGCGGCAATAAGTTGTATAATTAAGCAGTATTGGAAAGTATACTGAGTATGTATAGAGTTAGAAAATATGACAAGCAAGAAAACAGTAATAGCAGTATATGGATCCGATGACGCTATTTTTATAGCAACTGGTTTCAATGGAAAAGTAGGAGTAAGAGATCAGGCATACAAAACAGTGATAGGTAAATATGAAGAAACGAAAAGAAATAATAATGAAATAGATGTAGTAAAATTTCTGCACAATACATAGCCCAATAATAACAAATATGTACCTTATTTGGTCATAAAGATAAATTCACAATATTCACTCAATACATAAATATTCACAAGAATACAACCAACCAGAGCAGAGAGATTAGTGATGGAACGGATAGTGATTTTGCGAAAAGCCGGATTTCTGATGCATTTCTGAAGTGATACCCTACATTGCCACATTATTGCAATATTTGAAGAAAAATGAAATTAATAAGAAAGCTGATAAAGATACGTCAACTTATTTGGATCCAAGATACAAAATGAACTTTTTTGATACTGATTTAACTAACGAAGCAACTCTAAAAGGAGGATACTTTAATTAATAATTGGCGATATTTCCACAAAGATCCTTCAAGAAATTAATTTTATAGCGAATTTTGCAAGTTATCGATAAAAAGTGCAACATCGAAAATTTTATCAAAACTTCAAATATTGTTTTCTCAAAAACTATTAGTTATTTTTCAAAACGGGTTGGTTCATTGGAAAAAGGAGACTTTTATTAACATTCCGGGAAATTTTGAAACTCATATTTCTAAAAATGGATTTTATACGAATTTTCAAAACTTAATCGGCGAAAATTGCAAAATTCGAAAAAATTGTCGATCAATTCAAAAATTTTTTTCTCCAGAAATAAAAGTGATTTTTCAAAACGGCTTTTTGCATTAAAAAGAGGATACTTTAATTAATAATCGAAAGTGATAACAGCGACAGTCCTGTTAGTAATGAATCATTTAGTATTTTTTTTATGTATATTAAAGTGGGGGATGTAGCTGGATATCCAGTTACACCCCCCGTTTAAGATATCAACATTTCGATAGTGCCATAATTTTGTGCTATTTATGTACTAATTTTGTACTACATTCAAATGTTTGGTACTAATCATTTAGTATTTATTTTATATATGTAATACATACAGGTGTCCCACGTAACTGGTTCGTTAGAACTTTTTTAGGTTCCACTATTCGTACAGTTTAAAAATTTTGGTAGCATGAGTTGTTTATTCGGAACTTTCGATCTAAAATATTTTCAAGATGGCTGTCACTTCCGGTCTACCGGAAGTAGACTTAAAATTCGTTATTTGAAATGGAATGTTATAGTTTTTATTACACCTTTTAATTGTATGTACGTAAAAAAATATGTTGACTTTCATAAAAGTTATTGATACCTAGCGTTTTTCGTTTTCGAGTTATTTTGATTTTAAGTTTTTTTTGCAAATTTCATCATGCTCTTTAAAACCCCATATCCTAGCCAGCGTTCATTCAAAAAAGCTCTAAATTGGCACGATTACTTTTCGGATGCTGTCAAATAGATTGTCATTTGTTATCTGGTCAAAAATTAAATTACCGTTTCTCCATATTCAATGGCGAGAAAGTCGAAGATTTTAAATGGAACGTACTATATTTTATTAGTCTACCCGAAAGGAAATTTAATTCTCTACAAATTATCTATAAACATTCCGAAAAGCCATGACATTTTGACAGTTTTTTGTTTAATTTATTTCTATTATTATTTGTACTATTAACTACGATTAATAATCTTTTAGTTTACTAGCTTTTATTTACCAAAAATTACAAACAGAAGATTAATAGAAGAATAAATGACAAAAATTAGATTTGGATAAAAAATCTCAATGTATTATATAAATTTTTTATTAAATTTAATTTGGATATGCAATAAAATACGATAAAATATTTATTATATTTCTTTTGTTTCTTTTGGTCTCGATATATCCACAATTAAGAAAATCTTTATCAATTTTTTGGAATTTTTTCTTTGTGATAGGCGTTAGGTTTGTTAGACATCTGTCATTAAGTGTTCGACACGTCTTGTTCAAAAGTTTATTACTTTAGCCATTAATACAAAATGAATTTTAAATATCGGCGTTGGAATAATTTGCCATGATGTTCAATGACTTATACCCGCCGTCAAATGTAACGAATGACAACAATAATACAAACATCGACCAAAAACTGTCAAAATTCCATGGCTTTCTTAATAAAAAAATCTGCAGTAATGAGTCTCCTTACAGCATCCGATGCTGTAATGAGATTTTAGTAACATTTTATGGAACCAGTTCAAGTTGGTGACATTGGGTCATTAATTTTTCTAGTTGTCAATGTGACAATTTTTGTCTATGGATGTTTAAACACGTTCTTAGCATCAAATACAAGGTCCACAATGATGAGGACATTGAACATTGAGCAATTTCTCTTATTTTGGGAGGTGTATATGAAACATTTTTTTCAGGTGAATACATTTTGTGTTTTGACAGTTTCTAATTGTCAATTAAAATTTCTCTTTTCAAGTGTTACGATGTTACCAACTGCTACATACCTATTTCCCTACATTGACAAAATTTATTTTATTTTTCTTAAAAAAAAAGGATAAAAATGCGAATTACAAAAAGTAGCATAAAAAACACGTTTCATAAGACTTAAAGCACTCATTAATGAGTAACTGAACGTCCAGCTACACCCCCCACTTTGACAGACAGTGTGACCCATTTGAAAGCGGAGCACCCTTGTAAAATCTGTATTTATAACCCGATTTCGACAAATTCTTTTTTGAATTGTAGAGCGTATTTCACTTTTTATGTGCAAAAAATTAAGAAATCATATTATTAATTTTTTTACAAAAAGCTGAGTACACCATTGCATTAAGGGCCGTTTGAAATGGGCATATACCACATTTCANTTATTTGTACTATTAACTACGATTAATAATCTTTTAGTTTACTAGCTTTTATTTACCAAAAATTATAAACAGAAGATTAAATAAATGAAACAACGAAAACAAAAAACTGATGACAAAAATTAGATTTGGATAAAAAATCTGAATTTATAATATAAATTTTTTATTAAATTTAATTTGGATATGCAATAAAATACGATAAAATATTTATTATATTTATTTTGTTTCTTTTGGTCTCGATATATCCACAATTAAGAAAATCTTTATCAATTTTTTGGAATTTTTTCTTTGTGATGGGCGTTAGGTTTGTTAGACATCTGTCATTAAGTGTTCGACATGTCTTGTTCAAAAGTGTATTACTTTAGCCATTAATCCAAAATGAATTTTAAATATCGGCGTTGGAATAATTTGCCATGGTGTTCAATGACTTACACCCGCCATCAAATGTAACGATTGACAACAATAATACAAACATCGACCAAAAACTGTCAAAATTCCATGGCTTGCTTAATAAAAAAATCTGCATGCCGTACATGTTTTGATAAATTTAACAATATGACGGAAACTACAATAAATAAATAGGTATAGGATTGCTTATAGATTACTTGTAGAGAATTAAATTCAATTTTTGTAATTCGCGACGGTAATGAAAGCTCTAACAGTACTCAAACGGGTGCTGTAATGAGACTCCTTACAGCATCCGATGCTGTAATGAAATTTTAGTAACATTTTATGGAAGCAGTTCAAGTTGGTGACATTAGGTCATTAATTTTTCTGGTTGTCAATGTGACAATTTTTGTCTATGGATGTTTAAACACGTTCTTAGCATCAAATACAAGGTCCACAATGATGAGGATATTGAACATTGAGCAATTTCTCTTATTTTGGGAGGTGTACATGAAACATTTTTTTCAGGTGAATACATTTTGTGTTTTGACAGTTTCTAATTGTCAATTAAAATTTCTATTTTCAAGTGTTACGATGTTACCAACTGCTACATACCTATTTCCCTACATTGACAAAATTTATTTTATTTTTCTTTTAAAAAAAGGATAAAAATGCGAATTACAAAAAGTAGCATAAAAAATACGTTTCATAAGACTTAAAGCACTCATTAATGAGTAACTGAACGTCCAGCTACACCCCCCACTTTGACAGACAGTGTGACCCATTTGAAAGCGGAGCACCCTTGTAAAATCTGTATTTATAACCCGATTTCGACAAATTCTTTTTTGAATTGTAGAGCGTATTTCACTTTTTATGTGCAAAAAATTAAGAAATCATATTATTAATTTTTTTACAAAAAGCTGAGTACACCACTGCATTAAGGGCCGTTTGAAATGGGCATATACCACATTTCATCAAAAATGGTTACAAATTAACACCGTTACAGATAATTGAAAAATATAATTTTTTATCAATTAATTTCATCTGCAACAAATGTAAATAGTTTTTATATTATTGTCTCTATTTTATTACCTTTTTGTTATGGTTTACTAGATTAAATAAATTCATAAAAAATGATATTTTTCAATTATCTGTAACGGCTTTAATTTCTAACCATTTTTGATGAAATTTGGTGTATGCCCATTTCAAAAGGCGCTTAATGCAGTGGTGTACTCAGATTATTTTTTAAAAAATTCCTAATGATTTCTTTATTTTTAGCACTTAAAAAGTGAAATAGTAGGCCTTGATTATTCTAAGAAAAATATGACTCTTTGTCCGAAGGTACAGTTTTTTATGGTCTACAATTCAAAAAAAAAATTGTCGAAATCGGATAGTAAATACAAATTTTATGAGGGTGCTCCGCTTTCAAATGGGTCACACTGTATATAAAAAAATACTGTATAATAATGAGACGTATTTTTGCAAGCCTTTTGATAATTTATCAGAAATTTTCTTTGCTTCTCTTATAAGTTTAGTTTGTATGGGGAAAGCTATGTTATATAATCTTTCAATTTCACTATGAAAAGCGTTTAAGCATTTTTCAGCCCCTTCTATTACAAGTATACAATCCCAGTTTACGTTCTTAATATCTGATTTAAACAGCTCAATGCTTTTTTCGTGTATTTCTCTATAGGTCATAATTTCCATTTTTGACTTACTATCCGCGCTCTGATCCTTTATTCGCATCAGCTGATCATAGTGATCTAAATGGTGTATTTATTTTTAATGCAGTTGCATTAAATCATTCTTATGGGTAGATTCTTGAAGAAACTCCATATTAAAGTTCCCTGATAACACAATTTCATGTGCAGGGAAAGTCGTGTGTATGTAATTTAACACATCCCGAAGACTTTCTATAAATACAAGTTTCCAGATGGTGCCCTATACAATGAAACTATAATAAGCCACCTGTGTTGAAAATTCAATCCAACTATCTCAATTATTTGATCTATATTTTGTTCCTTTATGTACTTTATCATATTAAACATATTAAAAGGTGTAACAAAAACTATAGTGTTTCATTTAAAATAACTAAGTTGTGGTCTACTTCCAGTAGACCGGAAGTGGCGACCATTTTGAAAGTATTTTAGATAGAAAGTTTCGCATGATTAACCCCTACTACTAAAATGTTACATGAGACACCTGTATAAAAAGAATTCATAGAGATTAAGCGTCGATATTTTGTAGCTATAAATAAATAATTTTTTGTGTGAGCTGTCATAATTAAGAAAAGTGATCAATTATAAAATTCAATCAAATAATTGACTAGAAATGCTGTTAATACTAATAACACCTGCAATTTTTCTACTTTGCAGTAAATTTTAAATTAGTATTTTCATATTTTTGCATTATTCAAGTTATTTGAGTTGCTAATTAATTCTAATATTAATTAATAGATGGCACCATGAACAAACATTTCAAAATAAATTTTAGCATTAAAAGATTACATAATTTTAAATTATATAAACCAAGATAAAACCATTCAAGATACTTGTTATCATATAAAGTTAAACATTTTTTAAGTGTCACCAAACAATTTTTTTTAAAACACTTAAGTAATTTATTCTTAATAACTCATTTAAATCTGTCCTTCAAAACAAATTTTTGTTTGGCTTTTCGTTTACTTAATGCAAACATAAATTTTAAATATAAAGACAATATTAAGAAATTAAATTCTTTAACCTAAATTGATTTTATTTTACTTTCTTTTAATACCTTTCTATCATAGTTCCATAACTGATCATCCAAATATCGCAAGCTGACCTTGCTACCAAACTCACAGCAATTAAGAATAATAATCCGGCTTCTGGTGATCTCCATGATGGTACAGCAATTTTAATCAATGCGGAAATTTGTTTCAAAAATTGTTTATCTACTTGTGCTTTTGCGACAGTCTCTTTCTTATCAGAAATCAAATATTTTACTTCATCTTCGAGGTCAACATCAGATGATTTCCTGCAAAAAGACACAACATTTCAAGAAAAAAAGTATTTAACATTCTGCTGTATCACTGCTTTATAATTCAATAAAAAATTGTTTTTAATGAATGAATTTATAAATAAAATCACGACTAAAAAGACACTTACTTTAGAGCTCCTTTTGATTTTCGCTTTTTGGTTAAAATCCATAATAAAGTTGCCGCGCTGGCTGCTAAAATAGCATTGTTTTTGGTAACGTATTTACTGTAATTTGGTGCCATGACACGTCAACGCATCATTCGATAATGAACTTAAATGAACAAGAGAAAAGCTTCTATTAGAACTTTAACCTCTTCCAGGTAACAGTTTTCACCAAATGACTAAAGCCGCGCACTTCATAAAATGACAACAGGGATTGGAAGCCTTTTAGGTGGGGATATCAACGTCTATAGATATTCTATTATATTATTGATATAACGATGACTTGCTTGTGGTCTCTATCTTTGTATTTACATATTAACCTTAGACTTGAGTATAACGAACAGATTACGATGACGATTATCGTTACGTAACCACCTTTTATTTACTTTATTGCACTTATATTGCAATCGAGTTTTCGGCAGGTTAATTAGTATTAATTACGAGTTAATATTTGTTTAATCGGCGATTTTAATGAAACATAACTCAATTATTATAAAATATTTGATTTGGTTTAACAACATTGTTTCTAATTTGAAATTGCGTTTGACGTTTAAAATGTCAATTTAATGACAACTCTTTTTTATTTATTTATTTTTTTTTTTGATTAACGCAATATTTATATTTATAAATTGATTAAAATTAATATTATGAGTTAAAATTAAGAATTTTCGCAATACTTATTTATTTAATTTGTGTAGAAAATCATTTGAGAATGAAATCTTATTTGGGAATTACTATTGGTAACCCTTCTTTCAATAAACGTGACATTAGCTATAAATTCGTTTAAAACATGCTGTTTTGTTTCTATGTCAACAGAGTGATAAACAACTCGATCGATTGCCGGTAGAATCAAGTCACGTCAAAAATGAAGGTAGAAGAAGTTAAAAGTACCGTGAAAACTCAAAGGATTAGTGCCCATAGCCACATTAAAGGGCTGGGATTAGACGAAAATGGATTGCCAATACCCATGGCCGCGGGACTTGTCGGACAAGAAGTCGCCAGAGAGGTTAGGTTACCACATTTTGACACTTTTCATTTTAAATTTCGATGTTTTTGCTTTAAATCTTCAAAATAATATAAATTGGAACGTTTAATCGAATAATTAACTTAGTATAGCGTTAATTAACATTGGTATAATTCAAGAATCATCATGTCGCTGAAAAATCGACAATTTTTTTTAATCGACTGGAAATCACTCGAGTAAGTAGTTACAAATAAAAATAAAGTGCGGAAAAGTCTAAAACTTACCGAAAAATCACTTTAAATGTTAGAACAGATGTTTCTAGTTCTAATGTTCTCTAGTGTTAGTTTTAAATGTTGTTTAGCGTCATATTTTTATCGAAAGAAAAGTGGAACTAACACTAGACCTAGAAGCAGAAACATTCGGGTTAAGCCCAGAATATCTTAACACTTTGCTGACCAGCAATGTTACACAGAAACTATGTCATGTCACCCACTATTTTTTTTGTAATTATACAGGGTCTGTCACAACGAGGCTATATACGAGTCTATATGTATGTGGCAAACTACTGGCACTATTTTTCTAAAAATTTGCAAATAGCGTTTATTCGAGGTGCTTGTTTCAGCTAAAATATTTTCAGTTTTCTCCAACTTCCGGCTATACCGGAAATGGACCCCAACTTCGCTATTTTAAATGGAATCTACCAATTTTTATTAAACTTTCGAGATCCCCGCTAAATTTTAATGTAATTTAATATAAGTCATCATATGTCTAGAGTGCACCATTTTTGAATCATTTCAGTTTTTTCAAAAATTTTTTCAGATGCAACTCTTTACAATAAAAATAATTTTTCGAAATTACACTCGCGTCCGGCGACATATTCTCAGGGTTTGCACAGAGAGGACCCATAGCTTACATAACCCTTGAAAAGTTTTTTAAAACATTATACAGGTTGGTCAGAAATTTGAGCCGAATTTCCCTATCTCGAAAAGTCGAAAAATCATTTTTTTAAATGGCAACCCCAATTTCTTCCTTCACCAGCGTGTTGTACGCTGAAAAATAAGAGAACTTTCTCATTACATCCCTATATCTATAATATACGGTTTTCATAGAAACTTGCAAAAATTTAATTTTCTTGATTATATGTAAATTTAAAATTATTAGTTGGCTTTGGTTTGACGGAAGTGATATGAAACAAAAGCTATTATGCGCTAGAATGTAAGCAGACTTTGTTGTTAACATCAAAACAAAGGAATTTGCTACTTTGGAAGATACAGCCCATGGGTGAGGCTTGCATTCAAAAATTCTCAAAGCCCAATCTCCACACATTTTGTAACTTTCCTAATAGAATAAAACTTATAACAGCAGAAGAGAAATGAAGGTAGGTACTATATTTAACAATATAAATGAATAATAAAAAACCAGAATGAAAAATAAATGTAACTATAGTAAATGTTCGAACTGGTTGCCCTCAACTTCCAAACATTTATGAATTCTTTTTAAAAACCTGGCATAAGTGGCACTCCGAATTTCTTCCAAAGAAATGCATCACGAACTCTTTCTTAGCATTCTTCCTTTGTTGTAATCGGTGTAGCATACAGATGTCTTTTATGCGACCCTTAACAAAAAAATCTAATGGTGTGATGAAATTTCCAGCAGGGTTGGGCATAATGCACTAAAAAATAAATGCAATAAGCGTTTCACTACCACTACTTCTTCAGTGATAGTTAAAATACGAATTTCATTATCTCTCAATATTTAGTGATAGTGAAAACCTTTAGTGGTAATTAACATTATTATTCAGTAATATAACACTGCTTCTTGAAGAATAAAAGTAAGACTATATAAGCTGAAGCAGCATATTGAATTTGATAATTTTCTTTTTAAGTTTGTTACATGGTCCGACCACGTTAAAGTTTCGGACAGCATGATGCCCAGAAAATTTATCTTTTGAATTTCAGTGTCTTTGTCTCTTTTTATAGAAAAACTTAGTTTTTTGGTTTTATAACTATAAGGAAATTTTCTTCGGTATTTATCACCCAAATTGTAAATGGTAGAAATCAACGAAATCGTACTTTACGGTGATATAAATTTATTCACTCAACCGGTTTCGATATTTATAATATCATCATCAGGAGTTCGTCGGGAATGGTCTTTTAAAACAAATTAAAAATGTTGATAACATCACAACACCAACAGTAAGTGATCGATCATCTGCGTATAATTAAACAAATATGTAATTAAACTAATTAACAAAACTAATGAAAACAGCGTGTATTATACAGGGTGGTCAGAAATTTGAACCGAATTTCCCTATCTCGAAAAATCGAAAACTTAATTTTTTTAAATGGCAACCCCAATTTTTTCCTTCACCAGCGTGTTGTACGCTGAAAAATAAGAGAATTTTCTCATTACATCCCTATATTTATAATGTATAGTTTTTGTAACTTTCCTGATAGAATAAAACTCTTAACAGCAAAAGAGAAATGAAGGTATTATATTTAACAATGTAAATGAAAAATTCATATACAGGGTGATTCACATAAGAACCGACACAGAGCAGGGACATGTAGTGAGCAATAAATTAAGGTGATTTAACGTAACTTATCTCTATACTAAATTGTACACCTAAGTTATAGGCCTTCAAAGTTGGCTCTTAAGTTTTCAAAAAGTTGGAGTTTTCAAAGGATTGATTAAAGGTGATGGTACCCTAAATGTTGACAGATTTTTTTAACCTTTTGGCGGATTTAATACATTACTACTTCATTTCATGTGGAATTTAATTCTAAAACTTTTCTTACTTTTATTGTAAGTCAAACTTGACAAATAGCTTATAAAACCTTGTCGTCAAATAACTTTATAACCTATTTGTCAAGTTTGACGTACAATTTCATTTAATTTTCGCTTATTTTAAGTAACATTACGAAATACGTGTCTTTAGTTATTTAAGTTTTTTATGAAAACGACAAAGTTTTTTAAAAAATAATAAGAGTAAAAAAAGTTTTAGAACTAAATTCCACATGAAATGAGGTAATAATGTACTAAATCCACCAAAACGTTAAAAGAATCTGTTAAAATTTAGGGGACCATCACCCTTAATCAACCCTTTGAAATGCCTCAATTGGTCTCAACTTGCTAGCAATTAATACCCTCGGTACACTGATAACGTATACCAAATTTGGTTTTTCTAGCTTAATGTATTACGAAGATATTCAATGTTTTAAAAATTTAAGACCCAACTTTGAAGGTCTGCATTCCTCAGAGGTACAACTTAGTATAGAGATAAGTTGTGTTAAATCATCTTAATTTATTGTCCTCTACATGTCTCTGCTCTTTGTCGATTCTTATGTGAATCACCTGTATAGTAGAAACCACGAGAGCTGGGAGTGACTTGACGTTTAAAAATGGTATGAATCAAGATACAGACGTACGACTTACAATTAGATTATTTCACCACATACATTCAAATGTATGTTAGGTTAGTAATGGAGGTTATATGTCAAACATTGTCAAATTTAGGAGAGGTTAAGCAGCGAAAAATCGTTAATATTAATTTATAATAAAATTTATGTAATTATTATTTTATTTAACAAATACTTTAAAAGGTCACTTACAGGTCGCAAGGGATTAAGTAAGTTTTATTTAAACAGTGGTTCAACGGGGAGGTCATTTATAGGGTCCGTTGTTAGCTATCCAACGATCGTCAAAACGATTTTGTAAAAAGTTATATATAAGCGCACTACTATGAGGTGGAGCTCCGCCCTGTTGGTATCACAGCTGATTCCATGTTAAATTTAGCGACTAGATATTGAATTTTGTGAAATTTCCAGATATGAACTAAAATTCCAGTCGGGTGTGAGGCGGGAGGAGGTCTTCGTGTTCACCACCATCTTCCATGTTCTGCTAAGCTCTCAGCCATCTTCGCTGTTGACGTTATTTCTATGTCGATGGATCTCTATGGCTTCTCTTGTCAGTATTTGGTAATATCTGTTGTCCCTAGCCAGCACCATTGTATGATCGAAGTCTATTCGGTGTCATGGCAATGTTCCGCAACCGCCGGCTGCTGGATCTTCTTCAACCTTACATCCTTTTCATGTTCTTTGATGCGGCACTCGACGTTACGTCCTGTTCGGCTAACGTAAACCTTCCCATAACTACACGATAGTCGGTAAACTCCCGCTCCTTTTAATGGAGTTAGTTTGTCCTTTGATATCGGGAGTGTGTTCCGAATTTTGCTGTCCGTCCCGTACCGCACAACGATGTCGTTTTTCTTGAGGTGCCTGGCAATTCGTTCCGTTACACCTGAAACATTCAGTGCCATCAACTCCCCAACATACCAGTTGGCCAAATATCTTGCAACGATTCTGTCTCCTTTTACAGGGAGCACACATTCTACACATTTTGTGGAATCGGTAATAGTAAGAAGTTCTTCGCCTATACGTTCCATCATGGTTGAAATTTTTGGAATTGTACTAAAATTGTGATAAAAACCTAAATACCAAGAAAAGTAATTTTTTGTTCTAAAGCGGACACGACTAACTACGATACGCCAAGTTTTTGCGATATTCTATATCGCCCTGGGTGTCATAAATTGAAATAGAGACCGGTCAACAACGTTTGGGCATGAAAAGACGAGTTGACTCGTCACCGGTCAGCAAAGTGTTAAGACGGCTAAAGTTGAATGTCAAATTCCGTCAGCTATCCACACCGTTGCGTTTAGTCTACGTGGCTCTATATTTATACTAAGGAGGGTAGAATCTAAGAGGTCTACTACATCCTGGAAACAGGTATACAGATCGAAGTCCCGTTCGTGACGTCAGAGGTGAATAACAATTAAAACTAGAACTAACACTAGACGTAGTACTAGAAAGCATCGGGTTTAGCCGTTTTGAGAGACGTGCGGCTAAATCCGAATGTTTCTAGTTCTCGAACTAGTATTAGTTCTAGTTTTACACTATCACTAGAATTGACACAAGACCTAGAACTAGAATCATTCAGGTTTAGCCGTCTTGAGAGACGTGCTGCTAAATCCGAATGTTTCTGGGTCTAGGTGTAATGTTAGTTGTAGTGACAGTGCTAGGTAGCGCTAGTTAGCATAAGATATCACTATGTTGCATATTTTTATTGCAGTAAAAATAGGACTAACACTAGAGCTGGAACTAGAAACGTTCTGGTTTAGCCGTGCGTCTTCAGATAGTTGATACTTTCTTTCGTCTTCGACCTACCGCTTTAACTACTTGGAAAAAAGAGATATGCTCTCCAAAAAAAGGTACCTACTGCTTCCAAAATGCTAGATACTGGTGGAAAAGATTAAAATCTGCTTGGAGAAGACTAGATAGTGCTACCAACAACTACAAACTGATTGGAAAGACCAGATACTGCTTCCATAAGACTACTTACTGCTTTCAGAGTCCTATATACTACTAGAAAAGATTACGACCTACTTGGAGAAGAGTAAATACTGCTGGGAGAAACAATTATTTGCTTAGAAAGACAAGATACTGTTTCCAAAAGACTATTAACTACTTTCAGAATGTTAAATATTGTTGGAAAGACTACTAATTGCTTGGAGAAAGCTAGATATTGTTGGCAAAGACTATTTAATGCTTTCAGAAAATTATATACTGCTGTGAAAACACTACTAAGTGCTTGGAGATTACAATGCTATTGGCTGAAGACTATTTACTGAAATTATTCTTTCTGTTGAGTGATATCTTTCTGTGTCGCTTCCATTACAGATTTAAAAATTGCTGCTACAACACTCGATTCTTTGTCACCCAGATGCGACATATCTTTTTAGAGGGGGACAGGGCCCTCGTCTTTACACGTTACATTCGAATCCACCTAATTTACTGATTTATTTCAGAATTTTGTGGAGAAATTCCACTTTTAGTTAGGTTAATTAACATTTAATCCAGTGAGAATTTCTCAAATGTTAGGTTGGGCATGGAGCAGAGGGTGAGTTGTAAATTCCGGTTTGGGTTAGCCATGCGTCTTCAGACAAAGATTACATTAAACTCGACACTTTCTAGTTCTAGGTCTAGAGTTAATTCTAGTTTAACACTATCACTAGAACTAACACAAGAGCTAGAACTAGAATTATTCGGGTCCAGCCGTCTTGAGAGACGTGCTGCTAAATCCGAATGTTTGTAGGTCTAGGTGTAATGTTAGTTGTAGTGACAGTGCTAGGTCGCACTAGTTAGCATAAGATATCACTATGTTGCATATTTTTATTGCAGTAAAAATAGGACTAACACTAGAGCTGGAACTAGAAACGTTCTGGTTTAGCCGTGCGTCTTCAGATAGTTGATACTTTCTTTCGTCTTCGACCTACCGCTTTAACTACTTGGAAAAAAGAGATATGCTCTCCAAAAAAAGGTACCTACTGCTTCCAAAATGCTAGATACTGGTGGAAAAGATTAAAATCTGCTTGGAGAAGACTAGATAGTGCTACCAACAACTACAAACTGATTGGAAAGACCAGATACTGCTTCCATAAGACTACTTACTGCTTTCAGAGTGCTATATACTGCTAGAAAAGATTACGATCTGCTTGGAGAAGAGTAAATACTGCTGGGAGAAACAATTATCTGCTTAGAAAGACAAGATACTGTTTCCAAAAGACTATTAACTACATTCAGAATGCTAAATATTGTTGGAAAGACTACAAATTGCTTGGAGAAAGCTAGATATTGTTGGCAAAGACTATTTAATGCTTTCAGAAGACTATACACTGCTGCCAAAACAGTACTAAGTACTTGTAAATTACAATGCTATTGGCTGAAGACTATTTACTGAAATTATTCTTCTGTTGAGTGATATCTTTCTGTGTCAACACTCGATTCTTTGTCACCCAGATGCGATATATCTTTTTAGAGGGGGGTAGGGCCCCCGTCTTTAAACAATACATTCGGATCTACCTAATTTACTGATTTATTTCAGAATTTTATGTAGAAATTCCACTTTCAGTTAGGTTAATTAACATTTAATCCAGTGGGAATTTCTCAAATGTCAGGTTGCGCATGGAGCAGAAGGTGCGTTTTAAATTCTGGGTTGGGTTAGCCATGCGTCTTCAGACAAAGATTACATTATACCTGACACTTTCTACTTTAGGTCTAGAGTTAGTTCTAGTTTAACACTAGCGCTATCACTAGAACTAACACAAGACCTAGAACTAGAATCATTCGGGTTTAGCCGTCTTGGAAGACGTGCGGCTAAATTCGAATGTTTCTAGTTCTTGGTCTAGTGTTAGTTCTAGTATTAACACAGAGTCTATTGACACACAGTCTATCTAACGACAGGTAGTCAGTCGTTATGCATCGAAAGCCTAAAACTTTACCTTTAAGTTTATGAGATTGATTTTGTGCGTAGCTATAAAATAAACAATTTGAAACTTTAATGTGATTTATACACATTTCATCGATTTTTAAGCCACATGATGATTCTTGCATTTTTCCTTAACATTAATACATTCTTGAAGAATGAATACTTTGTTTAATCAATATTTTGTTCTATTTACAATTCTTATTAATATATTTTTTTTAATTAAATAGGGTGCTGGAATAGTAGTTGACATGATTCGCAGCAAGAAAATGGCAGGACGCGCTGTATTATTAGCCGGTCCCCCAGGTACGGGAAAAACAGCTATCGCTTTAGCGATTGCTCAAGAACTTGGAAATAAAGTCCCTTTTTGCCCAATGGTGGGTTCAGAAGTATACAGTTCAGAAATTAAAAAGACCGAAGTTTTAATGGAAAACTTCCGTCGAGCAATTGGTTTGAGAATACGCGAAACCAAAGAAGTTTACGAAGGCGAAGTTTGCGAATTAACTCCCGTTGAAACCGAAAATCCAGCGGGTGGTTATGGAAAAACCGTTAGTCATGTCATAATTGGTTTAAGAACCGCTAAAGGAAGCAAACAACTTAAACTTGATCCAAGTATTTATGAGGCACTTCAAAAAGAAAAGGTTGATGTTGGAGATGTTATTTACATTGAAGCTAATAGTGGTGCTGTTAAAAGACAAGGTCGTTCGGATGCTTTTGCGACGGAATTTGATCTTGAAGCTGAGGAATATGTTCCTCTACCAAAAGGGGATGTTCATAAAAAGAAGGAAGTCGTTCAAGATGTTACTTTGCATGATTTAGATGTTGCTAACGCTAAACCTCAAGGTGGGCAAGATGTTTTATCGATGATGAGCCAATTATTAAAACCGAAAAAAACCGAAATCACCGATAAATTACGAAGAGAAATAAATAAGATTGTTGATAAATACATCGATCAAGGAATCGCGGAATTAGTTCCAGGTGTTTTATTCATTGATGAAGTCCACATGTTGGATATTGAAACATTCACTTACTTACACAGAGCTTTAGAAAGTGCTATAGCTCCAATTGTTGTGTTTGCCACAAATCGAGGACGATGCGTTATACAAGGAACAACTGATATCATATCCGCTCATGGTATTCCAGTTGATTTATTAGACCGTTTATTGATTATTCGCACTTTACCTTACGCCAAACCGGACATTGAGGAAATATTAAAACTTCGTTGTACTGTTGAGGGTTTAGAAATTAATCCTGATGCTTTATCATCTTTGGGAGATATTGGAAATCGTAGCACTTTAAGATATGCGGTGCAATTATTGACTCCCTCATCTTTGATTGCAAAGACGAATGGTAGAAGTGTAATTACTAAAGCGGATGTTGATGAAGTTGCCCATTTGTTCTTGGATGCTAAAGCTTCTAGCAAAATTTTAACGCAACACAAAGATAAATATATGCAGTGAGAAAATCTTTATTGTAAGTTTGGTTTTCTAATGTCTTTTTAGGTTCTTACTTTTATTAAAACCAATACCTTTATGAAATAAAATGATTGTGTTGTTGAATCTAGTATCGTTGTGTGTTTTAAGTGATAACTTTTTTAATTTTAAATGTATTCAATTACACCACTTATTTTTGATTTGTGTGATTATCCAGTTTATATACATGTTAAGATGTGATTTCTTTGGTTCTTTCATCATGAAACTTACAATTATAATATGAAATAAAAGCAGAAAGATTGTTTCATCAGACCAATCATAAGTAACGCCTACAATCCTTCAAAAAAGTTATCTAAATTGCTTTAATGTTTATATTAACGACCTTGAAAGGATGATGTTATTCCATTTTTAACAAGAATATTATATTTTCTGGACGATATCAAGGCGTCAACAATCCTCGGACCTCAGGAGGATAAAAAATCTTAGTTGTAATTTTTTTTTAAGTAATGAACCTGTAAGAAAAAATAACTTTATAAAAAGTGTTATTATTATTTCCATTATTTCTTTTTTATCCAAATACAGTAAGTAAAAGTAGCAAGTTATTAAAATGATACTTGGGTNAAAATAACTTTACCTTTAAGTTTATTAGATTGATTTTGTGCGTAGCTATAAAATAAACATACACATGATGATTCTTGCATTTTTCCTTAACATTAATACATTCTTGAAGAATGAATACTTTGTTTAATCAATATTTTGTTCTATTTACAATTCTTATTAATATATTTTTTTAATTAAATAGGGTGCTGGAATAGTAGTTGACATGATTCGCAGCAAGAAAATGGCAGGACGCGCTGTATTATTAGCCGGTCCCCCAGGTACGGGAAAAACAGCTATCGCTTTAGCGATTGCTCAAGAACTTGGAAATAAAGTCCCTTTTTGCCCAATGGTGGGTTCAGAAGTATACAGTTCAGAAATTAAAAAGACCGAAGTTTTAATGGAAAACTTCCGTCGAGCAATTGGTTTGAGAATACGCGAAACCAAAGAAGTTTACGAAGGCGAAGTTTGCGAATTAACTCCCGTTGAAACCGAAAATCCAGCGGGTGGTTATGGAAAAACCGTTAGTCATGTCATAATTGGTTTAAGAACCGCTAAAGGAAGCAAACAACTTAAACTTGATCCAAGTATTTATGAGGCACTTCAAAAAGAAAAGGTTGATGTTGGAGATGTTATTTACATTGAAGCTAATAGTGGTGCTGTTAAAAGACAAGGTCGTTCGGATGCTTTTGCGACGGAATTTGATCTTGAAGCTGAGGAATATGTTCCTCTACCAAAAGGGGATGTTCATAAAAAGAAGGAAGTCGTTCAAGATGTTACTTTGCATGATTTAGATGTTGCTAACGCTAAACCTCAAGGTGGGCAAGATGTTTTATCGATGATGAGCCAATTATTAAAACCGAAAAAAACCGAAATCACCGATAAATTACGAAGAGAAATAAATAAGATTGTTGATAAATACATCGATCAAGGAATCGCGGAATTAGTTCCAGGTGTTTTATTCATTGATGAAGTCCACATGTTGGATATTGAAACATTCACTTACTTACACAGAGCTTTAGAAAGTGCTATAGCTCCAATTGTTGTGTTTGCCACAAATCGAGGACGATGCGTTATACAAGGAACAACTGATATCATATCCGCTCATGGTATTCCAGTTGATTTATTAGACCGTTTATTGATTATTCGCACTTTACCTTACGCCAAACCGGACATTGAGGAAATATTAAAACTTCGTTGTACTGTTGAGGGTTTAGAAATTAATCCTGATGCTTTATCATCTTTGGGAGATATTGGAAATCGTAGCACTTTAAGATATGCGGTGCAATTATTGACTCCCTCATCTTTGATTGCAAAGACGAATGGTAGAAGTGTAATTACTAAAGCGGATGTTGATGAAGTTGCCCATTTGTTCTTGGATGCTAAAGCTTCTAGCAAAATTTTAACGCAACACAAAGATAAATATATGCAGTGAGAAAATCTTTATTGTAAGTTTGGTTTTCTAATGTCTTTTTAGGTTCTTACTTTTATTAAAACCAATACCTTTATGAAATAAAATGATTGTGTTGTTGAATCTAGTATCGTTGTGTGTTTTAAGTGATAACTTTTTTAATTTTAAATGTATTCAATTACACCACTTATTTTTGATTTGTGTGATTATCCAGTTTATATACATGTTAAGATGTGATTTCTTTGGTTCTTTCATCATGAAACTTACAATTATAATATGAAATAAAAGCAGAAAGATTGTTTCATCAGACCAATCATAAGTAACGCCTACAATCCTTCAAAAAAGTTATCTAAATTGCTTTAATGTTTATATTAACGACCTTGAAAGGATGATGTTATTCCATTTTTAACAAGAATATTATATTTTCTGGACGATATCAAGGCGTCAACAATCCTCGGACCTCAGGAGGATAAAAAATCTTAGTTGTAATTTTTTTTTAAGTAATGAACCTGTAAGAAAAAATAACTTTATAAAAAGTGTTATTATTATTTCCATTATTTCTTTTTTATCCAAATACAGTAAGTAAAAGTAGCAAGTTATTAAAATGATACTTATTTGTGTTAAAAAATAAAATAAGAAAAGAATATACTTATTTGCTAAAATACCGCTCTTCTTAATAATAAGGCTGAATTCATTTTCTGGAAACATTCATACATTATTACCTCATTAGTATAAATATAATTTCAAAATGAAATAACATGTGCAACTCGATTTAATGATAATCTAAAGTCAAAGCATCATTTTATAGTACACTTCACATGGATTATCTGAAAAAGTAGTATTCTTTGACACCAATGTTGTGAAGGGATGCATCAAAACCACAACTGTTACGTCAAAAATATTGGTTGAGGATTAACCTCTTAACGTACACGCTCGAGCAAATTCGTGCTTTCAAAAAAGGTACTCTAAGGGGTTATTCATTTTATTAACATTGACTGTTACGATGCAATTATACTTTGCTTTAAAAGTTTTTCTAGCAACCTTTCCTTAATCTTCCTACCCAATTCTAATTCTTCTCTCCAAGTTGGTAGACCTTCGAAACCTGAGAACCCATTGAAAAACTGTGGTAACTAATCCCAGTGGGAAGTTAGAGAAATGGCCGTCTGAAAAAGAGAGTCCACTATAAAAACGAATAGTCAGGAAAATCGTTGTAGAAACCGCCGGATAGATTCCAAAGAATTGACCTAAGTAACGAAAAGGAATAGCGACATAACGCTGTGCTTCTGGAACGTAAGAACTCTTTATCAGAGCAGAGTTGGAGAACTCTAGGAAATATCTTGGAGAAGTACAGGCATAAGTTCGGGATTGCTTTCGTCGTAAGCAAACGCTTTAAGGAAAAGAGTGATAGTGTTAGTGTTAGTTTTAGTTGTTTAATATTAACATTAGTGTGCATGCCATACCGAGGATAAAAGCATTGAAGAAAGGAAAATTATAAAGGTATTACGTTGTTAAACACCGCATATAAAGTTCTCCAGTATACTATAATAAAGTAAGGGACTGTGTTGTACATTGAATAATTTTATTTCTGAAGCTTATATCTCAAAATTTATCAGTTATTAATTAAATCTCTTGGATTAAATCGATTCTGCAATGTTTTAACTGATAAAATTCATAGTCGCCATTATAAAATGCTTCATTTTATGGGTAAAAAATTCTTCGAAAGAAAAACTGGGATTTAATCCAAGCAGATTAATATAATACAGAGTTGTACCATGAGGCAACGTTGAGAGTATATCTAATTTAATGAACTTTTAAAACTTCCTTTAACACGCAACTTATCCATCCAAATGGAATAAAGCTCTGCTGATACTTCCCATTCATAAAAGTGGCGCACGAAATTTAATCGCCAATTATAGATCCATCTCTATTCTGTCAATAGTCTCAAAAGTCTTTGTACGCCTTATCTATCATTTACCTACTTATGTTTAATGTCAAATCATCCTTAATCCCTGAACAACATGGCGTTTTTCTGGGCAAGACAGTAGAATCAAACTTAATGTCATTTTCTAATTTTTGATTAAATACCTTGATAACAATAGCCAAGTTGATGCTATACAGGTGTCCGGTATGATCCGCTCTGATGCGGAAGATATGTCGTTATTCTATGCACTTGGTATTAGGGCTTTTTCTTCCATGACAGGTTTTAATCATTTTAATAGTAATTTTTCAAGTAGTTTTGATAGTAGGGGTAATAATGAGATTGGCCTATATGATGTAACATCTGTGGGGGGTTTAGGAGGTTTTAGTATCATTATTATTTCAGCAACTTTCAATATATGTACTTGGAAAGTATTTCTGTTTAAAAGCAGCATTAATTATGTGTAATAGTTTTGTTATTGTCCGTTTTGGTAGATGTTTCAATGTTTCTACATTAATTAGGACATAGCCTGATTTCTTTATATTTAGTTTTTGTATTTCATAATACAGTTCCTTCATTCTTACACATGGTATATTATTCTGCTGATCCCTTTGAATTATGCTATTAACACTATTTAACATAGTTGTTGGACTGTCTGATGTAAAAGTTTCTTTCAGATGTTCAGCAAACAAATTAACTTTTTCTTAATTGCTCTTAGCCCAATTTCCATTATTATTTCGAATTGGAGGTGTATGTGTTTTTGGAACTTTAAGCTTTCTTGTTGGCTTCCACAGAGCTTAATCAGTATTGGCATCGCCAGTAACATCTTTTAAGTAATTTTGAATATTATTTTGTTTGTGGCTACCTCTTAATCCTCTTACTTCGGCTGGTATTTTATTTAATTTAGTTTTATCACTAGGAATTCTCTGTTTGCCAATTCTTTCTCGCTTGAATGAATTTAGGATTTATGTTAGATTTCGGTTTTGTTGTTAACATAGGTGGTGAGGCCCAGGCTAAGTTTTGTATGTCTTTTAACACGTTGAGCGCCGTGTGTCCACCGGTGGACATTTTTTGTTTATTTTCAGGGCCAATGTGACCACCGGTGGACACGATGTTATGTTCATTTTAGGAACGCGTGTCTACGGGTGGAAACGTTTTACATTGACATTATATGGGCCAGTACAAATCATGGTCCCTGGAAGTAAGCATGGTTAACTTGGACCGAGCAGATTTAGTAATTTAGATAGTTTTACATGGGAATTTTCTATAGGAATTAAATAAATAAAATTTTTGACGAAAAGTATTTAAATATTAAATTAATTCATGTTATTAATGGAAAGACTCGGGAATCGGAGCTTTTCACAAAAAAATATTTAGAACCAAATTTGTAGCAAATTTTATTCTTAACAATATTGCTCTCTTGCTCTTTTGCTCTTAGAGGCGTAAATAATTGAGAAAAATACAAAAATATGAAAATTTGAAGAATTTGTTGCATTTCAACTTATAAATGGTAAAATCGGAAATCGGAGCTTTTCACAATAAAACTTTTAGAAGAAAAGTTGTTGCAAATTTGATTCTTAACAATATTGCTCTGTTCCTCTTTTGCTCTTAGAGGTGTCAATATTGAGAAAAGTACAAAAAATATGAAAATTTAAAGAATTTGTTGCTTTTTCAAATTCTTAATGAAATCACTCAGGAATCGAAGCTTTTCACAAAAAAACAACAAAAGCTGTAAAAGCTATTATTCTTAACAATATTGCTCTCTTGCTGTTTTGCTCTTAGATGCGTCAATATTGAGAAAAATACAAAAAATATGAAAATTTGAAGAATTTGTTGTTTTTTCAAGTTATTGATGGAAACACTCGGGATGCGGAGCATATTACAAAAAAAAACTTTTACAACCTAAGTTATAGCAAATTTTATTCCTAACAATATTGCTCTCTTGCATTTTTGGTCTGAGATGCGTCAATATTGAGAAAAACATAAAAATATGAAAATTTCATGAATTTCTTGCTTTTTCAAGTTATTAATGGCAAAATCGGAAATCGGAGCTTTTCACAAAAAACTTTTAGAACAAAAGTTGTAAAAACATTTATTCTTAACAATATTGCTCTCATGCTCTTTTGCTCTTAGATGTGTCAATATGGAGGTAGATACGAACATATGAAATTTTTTTAAATTTATTGCTTTTTCAAGTTATTAAAGGTAACACTTGGTGCTATAGCTTGCTATAAGAAAACTTTTATAACAAAAATTGTTGCAAATTTTATTGTTAACAATATTGCTCTCTTGCACTTTTGCTATTAGATGCGTCACTATAGTGATAGATACGAAAATATGAAAATTTGATAAATCTGTAGCTCTTTCAAGTTATTATAGGTGACACTTGGGAATCGGAGCATGCTATAGGAAATCTTTTATAACAAAAATTGTTGCAAATTTTATTGTTAACAACATTGCTCTCTTGCACTTTTGCTATTAGATGCGTCAGTATCGTGATAGATACGAAAATATGAAAATTTGATAAATCTGCAGCTCTTTCAAGTTATTATAGGTGACACTTGGGAATCGGAGCATGCTATAGGAAATCTTTTATAACAAAAATTGTTACAAATTTTATAGTTAACAATATTTCTCTTGCACCTTAGCTCTTAAATGCATCAATATCGAGAAAAGTACGAAAATATGAAAATTTGATGAATTTGTTGCTCTTTCAAGTGATTAAAGGTAACTCTTAGGAATCGCAGTATATTACAAAAAAACTTTTAGCACAAAAGTAGTAGCAAATTTTATTGTTAACAATATTGCTGTCTTGCACTTTTGCTCTTAGATACGTTAATATCGAGCTAGATACGAAAATATGAAAATTTGATGAATTTGTTGCTTTTTCAAGTGATTAAAGGTAACCCTTAGAAATCGCAGTATGTTATAACAAAATTTGTAGCACAAAAATTGTAGTAAATTTTATTGTTAACATTATTGCTCTCTTGCACTTTTGCTCTTAGATACGTCAATATCGAGATAGATACGAAAATTTGATGAATTTGTTGCTTTTTCAAGTGATTAAAGGTAACCCTTAGGAATCGCAGTATGTTATAAAAAAATTTTTAGCACAAAAGTTGTAGTAAATTTTATTGTTAACATTATTGCTCTCTTGCACTTTTGCTCTTAGATACGTCAATATCGAGATAGATACGAAAATATAAAAATTTGATGAATTTGTTGCTCTTTCAAGTTATTAAAGGTAACACTTGAGAATCGGAGCTCAAAAATGAGCAAAAGAATGACCAAGTAAGCAGCCTGTAGGAGAGAAAACAACTTACAACGCTAATCAACAAAAAAAAATCTTGGTCCCAGGATAGAAAACACACTATGTCCACCGGTGGCCACGCGGCGCTCAACGTGCTAAGATAAAATAATATAATTTATTATTACTTCAACACATTTTGCAAAATTGTTGAAATGTATAGACGAAACCCTCTAAATTTAATACTATCAACTTATTAAAGTAGGTATATAGTTCAAGAAGTTCAAATCTTGTGCAAACTTAATAATGGAAAATTGTACGTAAAATTCATTTGATAACTTCATATTGAGCTGTATATTATAACATCCCCTTAGATTTAACAACATAAGTACAATATCAAAAAGGTACAATAAATACATAATCGTAATCTGCTCTTAAACGTAACTATACAAATTATAATAGCAACTAATTCAATATATTATTTACAAATTTATAAACTAATTGTCTTTAATTTTTCCATTTGCTATGTAGTTTACAGTACCATTTGTTTTACCATTCAATATCGTACTATTCGTTTTTAATTTTGTTTTAAGTAACCCATTCAATTCTATTCCATTAGTTTCAACACCATTAACTTGCACTTCCTTATGATGAACACCATTTGCAGTTGTTTTCACTTTTTCCTTGCTCATGTAGGCTTTAACGAAGAATTGAGCAAATAAATAAAAGAAAAATACTGCTTGAAAAGCGAGTAAAAAAGCTATGGTTTTTGGATAATCACACTGTCTAAATAGCACTTGTGCACTATGTAGAAAAACTATACAAAATTGAATCTACAAAAAAGAATTATGTTTTTATTACGTTACATTGAGAAAATTTACAGATTTTCTTACCATTTGCATCATTGTGAGGTATTTTTTCCACCATAAATATTTTTGATATTGTGGTCCCATTGATGCTACCATGTAGTAAGTATACATTATGATATGGATAAAAGAATTTATTAATCCAAGAAGTGTACCATGACCACCTAGTAACAGAAAAAAAAATAGAATTTTCTTCTTATTAGCTTAGTAATACAATCGCAAAAATATCGGAAGAATCTTACATATTAAATATAGCAAATTAAAATAATTTACTGTAATCATATTGTTATATCTAGGAACATTAATATGTTCTTAATGTACGAGATTTATCTTTCCGATATTATAACCGAAAGTAGTTTTTGAAAATTTTTCGATACATTTTCATACAATGTTATGTATATACAACAAACATATGTGNATCAAATTTCGAAGAATAGAGTTGAGAAGTGATATTTTCGAAGAGATGTCAGTCCTAAGAGAAACCCGCTGCAAAAAATGAGATTTAAAACCCTTTGTAAGTAATTTTTATTAACAATTATAATTGTTGTTACCAATTAAATTAATGATTAATAAGTGACATTTTTAGGTTGAAAGGTTAAATTTAATTTAGTGGTGCCATCTAGTAGTATTAGAAATAATTATAAATAATTGATAAATTAGGTTTTTTTTTTATTTAACGTATTGATTAAAATGCACATATTTATAATTTAAAATAATAATCATTTTTTAATTAATTAAGTTTTTAATTAATTAAAAACCAAATCAAAAAAATATTTGTTTAAGACTTAACTTTGCGCCATCTATTATGATATTGCAAAATTATACATGCTCACTCCAATCAATGTTAACAGTAATAAATACTTAAAAATTGTTATTACACAATACCCATTTACATAAAAATAATACGTAATACAAATATCCTTTAATTTTGAATTTGAAAAAATTATAGTTGTCATTCCCCACATCGTCAAAGTGATAGCATAGCCAAAGGAAACTTGGACCATTGAAAGTTGGCCATTTGGTGTTCGCTTGAAATGTCGCGTTGCCATTGGTTAATATCCGGCGGACATCACGCGTGGGCATTTCTGATTGGCCGGCGATTATTACATTTTTACCTTCTTGTACCGGTGAATGTGCTGTCACGTTTCAGATGCATTACAAGCGTTAATTCGAACGGATTTATCTAAAATATTGTTAATAAATCGCCTTGTATTGTGCGTTGACCTCATAAAAGATTTATAAACCTAGTCAAAATGAAGGAGTTCTATTTAATAAGTATAGGTTTGTTTATATTCCTAGGTAAGTTTGGTTAGAAAAATTTTCTATCTAATTTTTGATTAATAATTTCTTTTTATTATCAGCATGTAGTGTAAAAGGTGATATTCTCGAAGGACAAGGAACCGTTGAAGAAGTTGATATTGATTTAGGAGCAAGTAGGGAAGGTTCACGAACAGGTTTGTTTTCAATTCCATTTATTTGTATAGTTAAAGTAATCCAAGTAGTTAAAACAGTATTTATTGAGTATCTTTTAGTTATTTCAAAGCGATATGATGTGTTCAGACCAAAATAATTGATCACAATGCTTTAATAATTAATAATTGTGTATATAATTAAAGCTAGAAGGAATTTAATTGTAAAATTATTCACGAATTTTCTCATAAGACATTAAGTGTTCTTTTATGAATGGTTTGGGACGAATTTTAAAGCTTAACATTCGCTCTAATGTGTAATCCGGTTTATACATGTTAATATACCAACCGTAGCTAAAAACCACCAGAAAAAATGATAATTATACTTTAACCTGCAACATTTTGGGCTAATTACCATTGATTTTCAGTTTTTGGCTCATTGTATTTCTCCAAAGGTCCTTTTACAATCAACTTTTCCATTGTCTTATCCAAATTGGTGTTTGTACACTCCACTTTTACGTTTGAGTAAAATTTAGGCGTTATTGGATCTTAAAAAGTTAATAATAATTGATATTTTTTAGTCTTTTACTATGTCTTTGAACTTACAGGCTTTTAAAGCTTTTCCAATTTCAATGTGAGATCTCCCAAGTTCTCTTTTACTAATATGTCAAAGTTTAAATGGAATTAATTTCGGCGTTTTTGGTTCTAAAGTTGATGGGGTGTACATCTTTCTATTTTCAAGTTGTTTGATCAATAATTTAATGGTAAATTTAGTTCATGATAAAAAATTCTATGTAATCAAGTACAATCAATTAATATGATGGACATCATGAGAAATGATATCTTTTTTTGAAGATAAAAATGTTACATTTTCCAAGGTTTAGTTAAATATAATCTGATCTAAAGAAAATAACTTTATCTTTTATTTTCAAATCGAAATTTTTATCTTAAAATCAAAGATGACACAAACAACCAACCATTATGAAATTATCATCACTTATTTTACAAATTGTAAACTTTTCAACGAATCAAACGGATTTTCAAAATCTCTTTTAATTTTTGAGATATTAGGTTTTAGACTTTCTAATTTTTTAGTTTACATAATTATACTCACTCATCTTCAAAAAATCGTAATAAATAGGAGCTTTCATAAATCATTAAGAAATTATCAGCAATAATTCTACAAATTGTAAACTTTTCAACGAATCAAACGAATTTTCAAAATATCTTTTAGGTTTTGAGATATTAAGTTTTAGACATCTAATTTTTTAGTTTACATAATTATACTCACTCATCTTCAAAAAATCATAATAAATTGGAGCTTTCATAAATCATTATGAAATTATCAGCATTTATTTTAAAAATTGTAAACTTTTTAACGATTCAAACGAATTTTCAAAATATCTTTTAGGTTTTGAAATATTAAGTTTTAGACATTATCTAATTTTTTAGTTTACATAATTATACTCATTCATCTTCAAAAAATCATAATAAATTGGAGCTTTCATAGATCATTAAAAAATTATCAGCAATAATTCTACAAATTGTAAGCTTTTCAACGAATCAAACGGATTTTCAAAATCTCTTTTAATTTTTGAGATATTCGGTTTTAGACATTTTCTAATTTTTTAGTTTACATAATTATACACACTCATCTTCAAAAAATCGTAATAAATAGGAGCTTTCATAAATCATTAAGAAATTATTATCATTTATTCTACAAATTGTAAACTTTTCAACGAATCAAACGGATTTTCAAAATATCTTTTACTTTTTGAGATACTAAGTTTTAGACATTTTCTAATTCTTTAGTTTACATAATTATACTCACTTATCTCATAATTATCCGTCTTATTTGAAGATAAAAACGTTATTTTTTCCAAGGTTTAGTTAAATATAATCTGATCTAAAAAAAAGAACCTTTATCTTTTATCTTCAAATCAAAATTTTTATTTCAAAATTGATTAAATTAAGCTGGCAAGGATCGTCGTTTGACTGAGTTGCCTTCAATGAGATCTGGGTAGATTTAGTACCCCAGTGAACACTGATGCCAGTCCTAAGCCTATGTAAAGGAGCAGGGTTGGAAGGTTGAGGTCCCCCCAAAAACCTGGACGAATTAAAGATTAAGGAGAGCCTTTAGAAAAGGAAACTCAAAATTAGGGTCTGGAATGCAACATTGTGGAACAGTAAAGATTAGGAAATCGTTCTGGAAATAGAAAAGCAAGATATAGATGTATTGTGCTCTCTCAGAAACGAAGAAGAAAAGAAGAGGATAAGATATAATAACTATATATTATTCCACAGTGGTGTGGAGTTACATGATAGATTTTTTGACATTATCCAAGATACACTTGACAAACTCCCCAGTAAAGAAAGCATGTTTATTTTAAGAGATTTTAACTCTAATTTCAAAATTTATTTGTTTTTATATAACATTGTTTACTTTTTGGAACATTGTTGAATTTGTGCCTCATATATTGTATTATGGATTTTTATTAATAATAAAGAATATTTGCGCGCATAACAAAGTACATATTAACAACACATATTTTGACCATAAATTACAATAAAAATATAATAATAAGGCAGTAGAACTTAGCCAGATACTAGAACTGTATAGTCCGACTTTGGCGAATGCAAGAATACAACATAGCTTGGTGTTATGTAAATACAGCCTATGATGCATACTCAAGAAACGAAAGGCACCCAACTTTATTACCAAATTCAACATGGAATCCCTAAAGGATGAAAGCATCAAAATTCTCTAGCAGACAAGACTACAGGGAAAAGTCCTAAAGAAACAGTTTGCGAAAAAAACGTTGATCCAAACAATAACAAATCGTGGTATAGACAAAATGTGAAATAGTTAGCAGAGGAAAAGAAAGAGGCTTACTTTATGTACTATTTGGACCCAGACCAAGACAATAAACAAGGTCAAGGTATATAGTATATAGGACCAGTACGAAAATACCAAAGATATAGCTGAAGAAGAGGTGAGGTACAAACTGCAATAAAGTCTCTGCAAAATCGAAACTTACCACGTCCAGACAATATTCAAATCGAACTGATTGAGCATGGCGGACCAACAATAGGAATAAAATAACAAAATTGTTCCAGGAGATCATAACAAGTTTTAAATCAATAGAAGATTGGAAGTCAAGTATAACCCATATATAAAAAGGGCGAAAAGAGTGTCCAGCTAATTACAGATTTATTTATTTATCATATGGCTACTACACATGGCAATGAGACTATGAGTACAAAGTATACGATATAAATGTATCCAGTGTGCAGCAAAATTATGGAATAAATTCAATAAAACACTTATAAACATTATTTTGCAAAAACGGCAAAACAAGTCTATTTTGTTTTTTATAAACGTTTTATTGAATTTTGCTGCACATTGTATATTAGTATAAAACAAAATACATAACACACGTATAGTTAACATAAACTGGATGAACAGCTATATGTTGATTATCAAGTTGTCAATCAATTCAACGGTTTGCTTTGTCTAATCAGTTTTGGACAATATTTTCAATGATATGAGTTTTCCTACCGCAGTCATACATGGAGTTCGAGGCTTTGTTCCATTTATGGAGTGAGTCTTTGCATAAGCCGTGCCTTGTTCGAATCTTATTATCGATTTTTCAGATGCGGCGTGGCATGTCAAAACCAACTGCTTGAATATATCTAAGTTCAGGTACCGGCATACTTTGGGGATGACGACCTGGTTCCATGTCAGTCCCCAGCTTCGCTCTATATTGATGTTCTCGTTGGGTAGCCTTTAGCTGTCCTTACTTCAGCGTGTCTAGATTTGAACTGGATGGATGACACTGTTTGGGTGCAGTTGTGAGTTGTCCATTGTGCAATATTTTTTTGGCAATCTCGGGCCAAAGCCTTTTTTCTTCTCGGCTTAGGCGCGGATTACAGTGGTATCAGTATACCGACCTCAGCAGCAAAATTATTAACCAAAATATTATCGCAAACAATTGCCGAAAAAGTTTGCATACTTTTCCGAAAAGAGTAACTCAGAAGAACAGCAAGGCTTAAAAATAGCTATAGTCCATTTTTTAATCGTTTGTTTGTTTAATCTTATCATGGACAAGATAATTAAAAGCGTACAGGGTGTCCCAATTTCGATGTCCGCATAGGCTATCTCCGAAACTAAAAGAGATAGAAAAAAAGTAGCTTACATGTCATGATCTCGTTTTTCGAGAAAATGCTAATGCCGAAAACTCCGAACAGCTATCGTCTTTTGTTTTCGCCCTATCGGCAAAAACTGAAAATTTTGCGAAAACGACAATCGCGAATATCTCACTTATTATCAAAGATGGAGTATTATAAATAAAACATTATATGGGCAACTTTTTACGAAGAATTCAGTGGCGTAGGTAGAATTTTTTTCCCATCTTTTATTTTCGAGATTTTAGACGTAACTTTATTTTTTTAAATGGAAACCATAGTTGGCTATGACTTAAAATAATTTGTTATTTTCTTCTGATAACAAATATATATAGTTTGTGGGGTATATTTCTTATAGTTATTGAATAATTAACAAAAATTCATTTTGTTCTATCTAAAACTAATGTATGTATTTAAAAGTTAATGTTGCTATGGTGATAACCATACATACTATGATGGAACATAATGTATCAAATAATTGCCAAAGTTTGTATTTAAAAATTCGATAACAACTCTGGCATTATGTGCTGGTACGATGCACCAGCATGTTAAGTGTCAAAGTATAACAAAACTGAATAAAACTTTACAATGAATTTCGAAAATTATGAAAAATGTAACATGATGGAATGCTATATGTTATCAGATAAGAATGCGACGTTAGCCGCGGAATTTTATTTCACAAGATATCCAGAAAGAAGACAACCGCACGTAAGAACCTTCAGCCGGTTAGCAGAAAATTTAATAGATATTTGGTCCTTCCCCAAACCACATACAAAAACATACCAAAATGACCTGCAAGAGAAATTGCAACAAGACGTCTGACCCAAAAGCCGCTGCTCCCGAATATGAAAGAAAAATAAGTATAAACCATACAAAGCGGGGCTAACTCATTATTTACGTGCCGGAGATGTCAATCGAAGATTAGAATTTTGTAGATGATATTTAAAAAAATTAAATAATCTGCTGTTTGTTCAAAATGTTATCTGGACCGATGAAGTCTCTGAGTGTTCAAAGAAGATTGGGGTTCAATGTATGGTGTGCCCTTTTAGATAATAGAATTTTGGCATATAGTATCTACCATAAAAACTTAAACTCAGGGAAATACCTCAATATATTAAGGCAGCACATTGAGCCTTTGGTCGACAATTTGCCACTAAATATGTCTCAAATGATATATTTTCAATATGACGGAGCACCAGCACATAATGCCAGAGTTGTTAGTGAATTTTTAAATACTACTACAAACTCAAGGACAGTAGAATCTAACAGGACTGCTACATCCATTGTTGTGACAGCCTACCCGCAAACTACGTCACACCATTTTCCACGCCCAGCTGTTGTTATGGTCTATGCGTTTGCTGTGTGTTTTTAGAGGTTATATCCTAGACGTATTCATATTAGTTTTGAAGTTTTATGTTTTTAGACGTATTAATGTCTATCATATAACCTCTAAAAACATAGACAGTTACCAGGCGTGGCAAATAGTGTGACGTAGAGTGCGGGCAACCAACCCGTAGTCGACTACAAAAATACAATGGATGTAGCAGTCCTGTTAGATTCTACTGTCCTTGCTACAAACTTTGGCAATAATTGGAAACAATGCTTTCCCTCATGGTATGGTTATCACCATAACAACATTAAGTTTTAAATACATACAATAGTTTTAGAAAGAACAAAAAAAATTGATACATTATATTCCATCATAGTATGTATGGTTATCACCATAGCAACATTAACTTTTAAATACATACATTAGATTTAGATAGAACAAAATGAATTTTTGTTAATTATTCAATAACTATAAGAAATATACCCCACAAACTATATATATTTGTTATCAGAAGAAAATAACAAATTATTTTAAGTCATAGCCAACTATGGTTTCCATTTAAAAAAATAAAGTTACGTCTAAAATCTCGAAAATAAAAGATGGGAAAAAAATTCTACCTACGCCACTGAATTCTTCGTAAAAAGTTGCCCATATAATGTTTTATTTATAATACTCCATCTTTGATAATAAGTGAGATATTCGCGATTGTCGTTTTCGCAAAATTTTCAGTTTTTGCCGATAGGGCGAAAACAAAAGACGATAGCTGTTCGGAGTTTTCGGCATTAGCATTTTCTCGAAAAACGAGATCAAGACATGTAAGCTACTTTTTTTCTATCTCTTTTAGTTTCGGAGATAGCCTATGCGGACATCGAAATTGGGACACCCTGTACACGAGGTCAACACCTTATACAAAATCGCCTTTTATGAATACTCATTCTGTACCTATATACTATAGCGGAGAACAACCTACGACGCATTCTGTACAGATTTCCAAAAACAGACGAAAAATTTAATATGAAAATAGCGCTGGAGAAGAACAAATCGATGGTAAATATAGCTAAAGCCCCATCAGATTTAAATTAGTTGTAAATGTATAACAGATCAAGTAATGACGTTTAACTATCTGGAGATAGAAACATCGAGCAACAGGCTGCTAATGGATGAAGTAAAGAGTAAGACAAATAAAGTTGCGAGAAATCTGCTGGTGCCTAAGATACATATGGCACAACAAATGCATGGATGCAGAAAGCAAAATCCGAATATACAGGGTGTTTCGGTGACTTGGGGAACTGGGGAACGCTTGACCATAAATAGTGTTTAAGATATTTAGAAAAATGTGTTAAAATTTTTCCTCTGATTGTGTCCGCCAGTAATACTATGTCATCGACATTCACAAGACTTTGGAGGCTTATTTCTTCCATTCTCCACTGTCCGAGTTTTAGGTTCAGTGCCTTCTCTTTACTTTTCTTTAAGATTTGGCTAATAACCACAATAAACAGGACGGGTCTAAGGGAATCTACTTGTTTGATTCCTTTTACATATTGAAGCTTTTAGACTCCAATCGTTTTGCCTCCCTGTTATCTGCCTGAACCAGAGAATTTTTATTTTCGATCCAGGACTGCCGCTCAAGCAGCACAATCTGGTATCGAACATTAATCACTGATAGTGATTAGTCCCGCCAAATCTCACTAAACTGGTTCTGTTCTTAGTTCTTCACCCCTTATTCTCGGGTACTCATTTTCTGATGGTTTTGGTTTTCTTGCATAGAATCGTGTATTTGTTATAACTATTTTGCGGTCAGAGCTTATTTCCGCTCCTTTTATACATAGTGCTTTTGTCATTTCGATTGTCTGCTGTGAAGGTAATCTTATGTATCTCCTTCCAATTAATCATTCTGTTGCCACTGTCATTTGTAATTTCTCTTCTCGGGTCGTTACCTACTATCGGGTCCATCCCTCTTATTCTGATTATTTTTGTTGTTCTTTTGTATAACGCTTTTTTGACTTTGATCAACTTGTCAGGTATTCGTGCTGCTTCTATGGCATTCCAAATGGTCTTCTTTGGTATACTATCAACCATTGCACTCAGGTCTAAGAATGTCTATAGGTTTTCCTACTTCGTATCTCTTCTCTGCTGTCACTTTAATTGTATATATGTGATCTTGTGTTTGTTTATTTTTCCGAAATGCCGCTTGTTTCTCCTGCAGTTCTTATCTATATAGCGTCCATTATCTTGATTAACAGCGAGTATATCTTCTGCACGCATCAAAATTATCAAAAGCGTTTGTGCTTCCCTTACAATATGTAGGTACGACTTTTCCATCTCACGCCTCATAGCATATTCTTTGGATTTCTTCCCCCATTTCTCTCCCTTCGTATTTGACCATCTCGGGGCTGATTTCGTCCCTTCCGGCCGCATTTCCCATTTTCATCCTATGTATTGCTTCCTTTATTTTCAGAGGATCTTGTGTATTTCCCCGGCCGTATTCTTTCTGTCTTAAACTTACCTTCGTAATATCTATTCCAGCTGCCCAGTATTTCCGTTTCTTCTGTCACCATATTTCCGTTCTTATCTTTTATATCATGCTGTTTGCTATTTTTTCATCTTATATGTTTAACTATCATCCAGAACTCTTTCTAATAGTTTGTCTTTGAAGTCTTCTCATATTTTATTCTTTGTTTCTTTACCATTTTGTTCTATTAAGCCTTGGGCTGATTCTCTTTATCTCTCTGCCGCTGCTTTTAGAATTGTAGTTTTGACGTTTATTCATCTTTCTTCTTTCTATGCTGTAATGCTGTTTGATTCTATGCTGGTATTCCACTTTTCCTCGTTTTTTCTTAGTTCTTTATCCCTTATTCTCGGGTATTTATTTTCTGATGGTTTTGGTTTTCTTGCATAGAATCTTGTATCTGATATGACTATTTCGTGGTCAGAGCCTATTTCCGCTCCTCTTCTCGCTATGTCTGTTATATCTAGTGCTTTTGTCATTTCGGTTGTCTGCTGTGAAGGTAATCTTATGTATCTTCTTGCAATTAATTATTCTATTGCCACTGTCATTTGTAATTTTTCTTCTCGGATCAATACTCGTCCCTACTCTGCCATTCCAAACCCCTTCTTTCTCTTTTTAGCCCTGTCCCAACTTTATTGCAGACTTGTATAGAACGACTTCTTCTCTGTGGTTTTTGCAACCTCTGTTGGTACGTAGATTTGTATGAGTTTTACCTTCTCACTCAAATTCGTGAGCTTATACCTGCCCAGTCAGTTTTTTGGTTAGATACATCATTGCTTATTAGAAAGCAATGATGTATCAGCAATGATGACCAGCATGGGTTAAGCTTACCCATCTTTTGCTCTTATTCCCAGTGACACACCTGAGTAGATCAGTATTTCTTTATTTCTGATAAGCCCAAAAACCCTCTCGTGTTCCATACCTCCACTCTTGTCCGTGGATCTCGCTTTGGTGAGCCCAATTACTATGAGACAACTGGACCGGGTTATACTTCCCCAGATACTGGGTCGCGATATAGACTTATAGATTAGTTATCTTGCACGGGGGCACCACATGTGGTTGAGGTTTGGCATTTAGGTGTCTGGATGGTGGCGACCACCCGTTCGCCCCATAGGAAGCAATACCAACGATTTTCCGTAGGATATTTTTTGAGAAAAAAAGTTCCTTTTGCTAATCCACAAAAATCGTGTACATTTTGATTTAACTCGCGATAAAAAAAAACCGACAGCCGAAAATTTTAAAATCTTTAAAAATCATTTATTTTTACAGATACTGAAGCAGTGCAAAGAGAAGAAGAAGCAATTAAACTCGACGGTTTAAATGTAGCCCAAATGAAAGAGCTCCGCGATAAAGCGGAAAAATTCCAATTTCAAACAGAAGTAAACCGTATGATGAAGCTTATCATCAATTCACTCTACCGTAACAAAGAAATCTTCTTAAGAGAATTAATCTCAAACGCTTCCGATGCTATCGATAAAATCCGTTTGCTTTCTTTAACCGATTCTGGTCAATTAGACACCAACTCAGACTTAAATATTCGAATAAAAGCGGATAAAGAAAACAACATGCTTCATATCACCGATTCCGGTATTGGTATGTCAAAACAAGATCTCGTAAACAACCTCGGTACAATCGCCAAATCTGGAACAGCCGACTTTTTGAGTAAAATGCAAGATGCGAGTACCTCTCAAGATATGAATGATATGATTGGACAATTCGGCGTTGGTTTTTATTCGGCATTTTTAGTTGCCGACAAAGTTATTGTTACCACTAAACACAACGCGGATACTCAATACATTTGGGAATCCGATTCAGCCTCATTTAGCATCGTTGAAGATCCACGCGGTGATACATTAAAACGTGGAACAACCGTTAGTTTACAATTAAAACCGGAAGCAAAAGACTTTTTAGAAATCGACACCATCAGAAACTTAGTTAAGAAATACTCCCAATTCATTAATTTCCCGATTTATTTATGGGCGAGTCGCACGGAGCAAGTCGAAGAAGTTATTGAAGATGAAGACAAAGAGGAAGAAAAGAAAGATGTTGAAGATGAAGCTGCCGTTGAAGAAGAAGAAGCCGAGGAAGATAAGCCAAAAACGAAAAAGGTCGATAAAACAGTTTGGGATTGGGAATTATTAAACGATAGCAAACCAATTTGGACTAGAAAACCAGCGGAAGTTGAAGACAAAGAATACGATGAATTTTATAAAGCTTTAACTAAAGATAGTGGGGAACCACTTACTAAAGTACATTTTGTTGCTGAAGGTGAAGTTACATTTAAAGCACTTTTATTCGTTCCTAAAGTCCAACCATCCGAAAGCTTTAATAAATACGGTACAAAAACCGATAATATTAAATTATTTGTTCGTCGCGTTTTTATCACCGACGAATTTAATGATATGATGCCTAATTACTTAAACTTTATTAGAGGTATCGTCGATTCGGATGATTTACCTTTGAACGTTTCACGTGAAACTCTCCAACAACACAAATTGATTAAAGTAATCAAAAAGAAATTGGTTAGGAAAGTTTTGGATATGTTGAAAAAGATTCCTGATGAAGAGTACTTAAAATTCTGGAAGGAGTATTCCACCAACATTAAATTAGGTACAATTGAAGATCCCAGCAATAGAACGAGATTGGCAAAATTATTAATGTTCTTCTCCTCAAACGGTGACGAAATGACTTCCTTGGCGGATTACGTAAAACGCATGAAACCAAAACAAGAAAGAATTTATTACATGGCTGGATCATCAAAAGAAGAAGTCATGAAATCGCCTTTCGTCGAAAGACTTTTACGTAAAGGTTACGAAGTTTTATACATGGTCGAAGCTGTTGATGAATACACCCTCTCTGCCATTCCTGAATTTGAAGGTAAAAAGTTCCAAAATGTAGCCAAAGAAGGATTTTCTCTAACAGAAGCGGAAGGTGGTAAAAAACAATTAGAACAATATCAAGCAACTTTTGAACCTTTAACTAAATGGTTGGGTGATGATGCTTTAAAAGAACACATTGCAAGAGCTACTGTATCTGAAAGACTTAGTGATTCACCGTGTGCTTTAGTTGCCTCTATGTTTGGATGGACTGGAAACATGGAAAGATTAGCTGTTTCAAATGCCCATCAAAAAGCAGATGACGCACAACGTTCCTATTATTTGAATCAAAAGAAAACGTTAGAAATCAATCCAAGACATCCATTAATGAGGGAATTATTGAAAAGGGTTAATGATGATCCATCAGATCCTGCAGCTAAAGATATGGCTTTGATGTTGTTTAGAACAGCAACTTTAAGATCTGGATACATGCTGAAAGAAACGCACGATTTCGCTCAAAGTATTGAGGTAATGATGAGAAAGACTTTAGGGGTTTCACTGGACGAACAAGTTGAGGAGGAGGAAGATGTTCCAGAGGATGGTATTCCCGACGAAGAAGCGGAACAGGAAGTCGACGCTGAAGCCGACTCAGAAGATCATGATGAGTTGTAAAATGTGTTAAGAGATAATAATTTTTGAGTGTGTTTTATGCGTGAATGTGTTATTATTTAGACCGTAAATGAAGACTGTTAATTTTTCTATTTAAATATAATATAAATATGAACTTAATTTGATTTCTTCAATTTTTTTTTGTTATTATTAAGAGATATTTTAATTTTGGTAACATTTTTATCCTAAAAAACGCTCTACTTTTAGACATTTTTTTTATTGGCTTATCAATAGTTTATCAAAATTGAAGGCTTCTATAATTTTTTATTTTTCAAACGGTTTTAGTTTAAAAAAAATTTGGAAAAACTTTGGTGACGTCACCGTCGTTTTGTCTTGGTTGGCTACAAAAAAAATCAATAAAAGGTGCATGGGCCACGAAAAAAAGATTAACAACTTGAGAAGAAACAAAATAAGAAAAGAAGAGGAAGAGAAGAACACATCATAGTTTGCTAATTTCACAACAATTTCATTTTGCAAAAGAAGAAAAACTTTTAAACAAAGGGCATAAATTTGCATTAAAACCAAAAATTAATCTTCCCTTAACATCCATAGAATTTGATATTATAATCAAAAATTGGCCTGAATATGACGAGATTAGAAGTGATCTAATAACTTTAAAAAAAAACAGGAAAAAATAAAAATTGGCATCCTCATGATAAAATACAACTTGGACAGTCATTCCAACATTACGAAACAATCAAATCTATTAAAAATAAAATCGAACATAATAATGCAGTTTACGTAAAAGTAGATAAAGGAGCGGGTTTTGTAATCATTGATAAAAATACATACCGGGTGTTCATTTCAAAACTTTCCACCTCAATTTCTGTAAATCCGGAAGTTTAAAAAGAAAATCGCTGAAATAGGTAAAGAATAAAACCAAGGGGGACAACTTTTTATGCAAAAATTGACTCACTCACTTCAACCCCCCGCCGCCAGAAACCAACCCCTTAAAAATCTTAAATGGAAAGGGGTGTCAAGTGATACCTCATTTTAAAGGTCTTTTAAGGTACTACATGTTAGTATTTATTTTTTTTAAATTGATCGATTCGTTTTCGAAATTTTTGCGAAAATCTTTGTTTTGTATTTCCCGCTTTAATTAATATTAAAAACTTTAATCACCTTCTTAAAAGCAAGAATAAGTAATCTTTTATTATTAATTTATAAAATTAAATTACCATGTTCGTTTTTACAACGACCATTAAACCTTTATTATTTCGGAGCAATCCGAAATCTTTGATATTTAGGTTATTTTGACAATGATATACCTACGTTGGCTAGCTTGCCTGGCGTCTGTCAGAGATATTTAGAAAAAACGATTTCTGTTTCATTTTTCTTTTCTTTTAGGTTTATTTGGTTATTACTTAAACAACTTTTAACTGCTTGAAACGTTCTATTTTATTTTCAGTTATTTAATTATGTACAAAAACTTTTTGCAGAGAAAATCAACTTAATAATTGTTCAAAGTGTTGTCCGTTATTAGCTAAACAATGGTACAACCGTTGTTCAAAACTACGGCGCACATTTTCAAAAACTTCCCTTTGAATTCCACGGCAAGCTGCAGTAATTCTCTGACGAAGTTCTTCTAAATTTTGAGGTTGAGGGGTAAATACAACAGACTTTAAATGACCCCATAAAAAAAAGTCTAATGGCGTCAAATCTGGTGATCTGGCTGGCCATTCTATAGGACCTCTTCGTCCTATCCATCTGTTTGGAAACGTATTATCTAACCACTGTCGTACTGGGAGAACATAGTGAGGAGGAGCTCCGTCTTGTTGAAAATGTAATTCATTCTCATCAAGTAAGGCATTTTCTTCTCTATCCAACTGATTCTCGAGAGCTTCCGTAATTAGTGGATTGATAGTATTTTCTAACATATCCAAGTACACTTCGCCGTTTAAATTTCCATCGATAAACACTGGACCAATCACTTGGTCTCCCAAAATGCCGGCCCATACATTAACTTTTTCAGGATATTGTGTATGCCCTTCTACAGTCAGATGAGGGTTTTCATTACTCCAATATCTGCAGTTATGTTTATTTACAAATCCATTTAAAGAAAAAGTGCATTCATCACTAAAGCAGATATTTTTCACAAAAACGTTGTTATTATTAATAATAGTGGTCACTTCTTCACAAAACTGTATTCTCCTGTCAAAATCGTCTTCAGTTAGCTCTTGATGTATTTTCAATTTATAAGGATGGAATTTGTGAAGTTTTACAACTTTATGAACAGAACCCAAGGATATACCAGTTGCACGAGATACCTGACGCAATGAAGTATTGGGGTTGATACCGAAATGACCCAACACTTCCAGTTGAGCGGTTTCATTCAAAACTCTCGACTCATTATGTTTTATGTTGGCAACGGACCCAGTCTGAGTGAATTTCTTCATGATCTGGATGCCTTTCATTAAAAACTGCGGCAGTTCGTCGAGCACATTCATTTTGGGATCCATACATTAATACAATTTCAATCCTTTCCTGCAAACTGTAAACCATTATTGCTGTTTTATTTAAATAACTTTGTTAAGTGGATAACACAAAGTTGTTTAAGTAATAACCAAATAAACTTATGTTTAGAATTGCACTTTTATTTTATTCTTTTCTCGCACTGTGAGCCTGCCTATAACTCGTTTATAGAAAGAGAAAAATTTCGTCTCTTTTTTTCCTTTTTTTGGCCATTCGAGTCAAGAGTAATTTTCATACAGGTTTAATGTAAAATACTTTCAATAAAATTTAGTTTAATTCATAATTATACGTGTTTAGTTTTCTTAAATATTTCCGATTGCTCCGAAATAATAAAGGTTTAATGGTCGTTGTAAAAACGAACATGGTAATTTAATTTTATAAATTAATAATAAAAGATTACTTATTCTTGCTTTTAAGAAGGTGATTAAAGTTTTTAATATTAATTAAAGCGGTAAATACAAAACAAGGATTTTCGCAAAAATTTCGAAAACGAATCGATCAATTTAAAAAAAATAAATACTAACATGTAGTACCTTAAAAGACCTTTAAAATGAGGTATCACTTGACACCCCTTTCCATTTACGATTTTTAAGGGGTTGGTTTCTGGCGGCGGCGGGTTGAAGTGAGTGAGTCAATTTTTGCATAAAAAGTTGTCCCCCTTGGTTTTATTCTTTACCTATTTCAGCGATTTTCTTTTTAAACTTCCGGATTTACTGAAATTGAGGTGGAAAGTTTTGAAATGAACACCCTGTATACAGGGTGTATCTGAATGACTGCAACAAACTTCAAGGCGTGATTCGTTAGTGAATTTTAAGGGTACTTTGATATATGAACCATGGGCGACTTCGGCTCCCCTAAGGAGCTACACCCCTCCAAAAATGGTGGAAAATTTTGATTTAATTTTTTTTCTCAAAAACCATAAACGCTAGGAAAATGAAATTTGGGGAATATGTTTAGGTAACTCATAATAGGGCACGTTTTGACCCTATTTGTACTTTCAACCTACCCTTCTAAACTACTAAACGTAACCACCAGCTTTGCATTTTTGCTAAAATTCTTTTTATGCAGACGATAAATACATTAGAAAAATTTTACATAGGTAGATGAAAGTATTCTAAAACTTTTTTGTCTCTCTCAAATTTTTCCAAAAACGACTAATTTTTGAGAAAAAAAATAATAAAGCAAATACTGCCCGTTAAACAACGGGGTTGTCGATCAAAAGTTGGAATGAATTTTTAATGAAAAAATCTTAGTAGGCGTTGCAATCTTTGTCAGAAATATTTTTGACGTTTAAATGTCAGTTTTTCTTACTATTATTATTGTTTTTCAAATTAATTTTTGAATGAAGTTCTATCGCATTTACGCTCGTTCACTCGACGTTTCAAAATTTTAAATAAAACAATAATAAAGTAAGAAAACCAATGATATTTAAACGTCAAAAATATTTCTGACAAAGACTGCAAAGCCTACTAAGATTTTTTCATTAAAAATTCATTCCAACTTTCGATTAACAACCCTACAGCTTAACAGTTAGTGTTTAGTTAATTATTTTTTTTCTCAGAAATTATTTAATTTTAGAAGAACATCAGAGAGACATAAAAGTTTTAGAATAGTTTTATTTATCTAACTGAAATTTTTCCAATGTATTTGTCATCTTCATAAAAAAAATCTAGGCATAAATTGAACGGGAGTGGTTACGTTTAGTAGTTTGGAAGGGTAGGTTGAAAGTACAAATAGGGTCAAAACGTGCCCTATTATGAGTTAAACATATTCCCCAAATTTCATTTTCCTATCGTTTATGGTTTTTGAGAAAAACAAATTAAACCAAAATTTTCCGCCATTTTTGGAGGGGTGTAGCTCCTTAGGGGAGCC